CTCGGCCGTAAAAAGTCCAACAGTGCGCCACTCCGTCGTTGTCGTCGTCGAGCCATGATGGTGGTGCTGCGTAGAGTGCTGCATCTTCCACAAGAAGCGCGAGTTTGGCGAAAGCTCGAGCGAGAGCGAGCCCGACTCGGACGACTCAAGCAGCAGCGCCGAGGCGCGCCGAACAAAGAAGACGCTGCGCGACCAATCTGCCAAGCCTGCGCCCAAGAAGAAACACATGTGCTCGCAGCACAACTGCCCGGATACGAACCCGTAATACCACCTTGCCTTCGTCGCGGTCATGGCGTCTGTCCCTCGTCGGCGCAAAAAAAAACCGAGCGCTTCGACGCACGGAGGTCGCACCGCATGATGGCATGATTCGTTGAAGGAACACGAAAGCGCCGGAGCATAAACCCTGCACTGCGTGCGCTTGCGGCCGTCGCCTCCATCCGGCAAGCGCAGATCGTGGCCACGTCGGTCAACACGATTACACCCCCGATGCAAATCCTCGTGGGTGTTGACATTACGCAACGTCACTCCACAAAGCAGCTCCACGAGGCTTACGTGATCGTAGGACACACTATTCTACATTGCATGCTAAATGTTGTACAAGATTCTGTCCATCAACCAACATGAATATAGTGTGGGCGTTTCATCGTGGCTTGAAGCGTCAGCCATGCGCCGCATCACAGCACCGACGACGGGCAAGGGCAGCCGCGCCGCCTTGCTACAAGGCCCACGCGACGCGGCGCTTACCAGCACCAAGGTACTACTGCGCAAGGCGGATCGCGGGCCCGAGTCGATGGCCAAGAGCAAGCCCACCATGGACGCTACCAAGGACTGCAGCGCGATGCAAGCGATCGACGCAGAGCGGTCGACCAAGCCGACGCTGGCCATCAAGTCCAAGGCTGTCGATCTATGGAACGCCAAGATCAATCGGTGCCATGACCGCGCCGTCATCCACACCTTTCGCAACGCCTTGCTCGCACTGGACGTGACGCTGTCGGTTGCGATCGGTGGCGGTCAAACGACAAGCTGCATCTCGTCTGACAACAACAATAAGGCGACGACGACTGCGCTGACGACGGCAACGATCCCGATCCAGCCGCAATGCACGCTTCGCAAGCTCACGACCGTGTCCCTCACAGCGCGCTCGTCCAAGACGTCGACATGTATCGAGACCACGTACCAGGTGCCATCGTCGTCGTGGCGTCTCGTGGCGACGACCGATGACGGTACCGACCTTGGCATCTACCAAGCGATGCTTCCGTCGTACACGCTCATCGCGCTCGTCTGGAAGGCCGGCCTCGACGTGCTTCGGTACCTCCCCTTCTCATGCGTGTAATCGTTCCAAGGCTCTATCACGATTAGCGTCCATGCCATTGCGTCGCTCCCAGCACTCGCGACGTCGCTTCTTCAACGGGTCGTCGCACCCGTCTTTGACGATGTTGACTCGCAGCACGGGTTCCGTGGGTACACGATCGCCGTCACGATGCGGCAGCTGGATAGCACGGTACTCTGGGAGCACGAGTTCTATGCCGTCGACTTTGATCGCACCCAAGACGGTGCCATGGCGTCCCTTCTCTCGCCCGCGGTACGCAGGTTCGTCGTGGTGTCGATCTGTGACGGGCGCGGGTAGGGCGCGTTCCGAGACAAGTGCCGGCTCTTGGCCGAGGTGCCGCACCTCGCAGTCGCCACGGAAGCGTTTACTAGCCGTGCGGCTAGCTGCGTCCTACTTGACGTGGCGATTTGGGACTTTGAGAAATCGTTGCGTGCAGGTAGACGACGACTGCGCCCAATATGACATGTTGTATTAACCGGATTAGCGACGAGCCACTGCGTGCTGCTACGACGCGAACCGCAGGTGGCCACTCTCGATCTGGACGTCCCCAGTGCGCAGTTTCCAGACTCGATCCACATGGCCCTTGAGACGCCGGATGTTACGTGCCGCATCAACTGCGCCGCCTCAAAGAAACGTGCGGTGGTCCTGTCCGTAGTCGTCGGTCTCCGCCGCTTGTTTCTTCAGGCGACGTATGGCGTCTGCACCTAGTGACGAGCCACCACTTTCATGTATTATTGCATTGCATGGATACTAAACTTGATCGACAAAGTGTCCAACACGACTACACTGTACTCAATCACGAACCGCGCCAGGTAGGACTGATGAAGGACAGATTGAGCATGGTCGAGAAGGTATGCAAATCTCTGCGCCGGGCCGCACGCTTGTTTTTGCTTGTCAATTTCGCGATCGTGTGTAGCTGCTCCAGTGCACTCACGCGTAATCCCTGCGTTTGCGTTGGCCGGCCCTGTAACCTGTGGGACACACCCGCGCAAAAGTGCACACTTGGGCGCCAGCTGGCACGGAAAGCTTCGTGTCTGATCGAAAGATCGCCCACATGATGCTATCTTGCCCGGTCGTCGCCACAGTATACAAGCATCACCACGCTTCGGCGCGGTTCGCTCGCGACCTCGGCAGCGCCGTAGGTGCGAGCTCTGCCATGCGTGATGCGTTGCGGCAGGTGGACGACGTGTAGACCATATGTCTGGTGCCGAGATCCTGTTGACGGATGCGATTCTTTTCTTGCTTGTCCCTTTTTCGATCGAGTGCAGCCTACTGTACTGTACTAGTTGTTGAAGAACCGCCGGTGCGACGCAGTCTCACGTCAGTAAAATCGCGTCTCTACGCCATGTCCAGACGATCCTCTGTGACCGGTGTGCGAAAGAAACGACCGCCGAATGGATGTGGGTGTGCGTGGAGGTGGAGACGGTCAGAGTGCACTACAGACGACGCCTGTGCGATCGTTCGTGTTGACGTGCACAGCGCCGCCGACTTGATTCACGTTGGTCTCTCTGCTTCGCAACGACGCGACAGCATCGACGGTTTGGCGTTGGAGACGGTCGTCCCATCTGGTCCTTGGCTGGTGTCGCGATTACTGCACTAAAGGCATTCATCAACACGCGACCACAGGTGGTCACGCCGACGTCGTGGCACCAACACGTCCATCAGCGATCGTTGCACCGGTAGGGACGGAAATGAAAAGTAGTCTCGTGCTGCATCGATTACTTTTTCTGTGTCGCGCACGCAATTGCTTCACGGGTTGTGTGCAAGTCTTCGTGGCCGCCAAGGACAGAGAGCGCAGTTTGTTGTGGATTTCGACGGCAGCGACCAGCAGCAGGTGCCAGCGATCTGCGACTTTCTAAACCGGCGTGTTCCCTCGGCTTTCCGGTGCCAATTGGTGTTGTCTCAGCGCGGCTCATCTTCAAGAACGCGAGCTCGCAGCGATCCCACTCTGGGTTTTGTGTCGATTACTGTTTCCTCAGTTGACAATCCGCACGCTATTGAGCACTTGCCAATACACACCACCGCACTTTTCCAAACGATGCTCGCACCGACGCCGCCGACGATGGATTTGCTCAAGACGCCGAAAGTCGTCTCGCCCATGGCTGTGGCCGACGAGAACGTCAACCAAGGCGCGTGGTCCAAGGAGGAGCACGAGCGGTTTTTGATCGCGGTCCAGCTCTACCCCGAAGGCCCGTGGAAGGCGGTCGCCGAGATCATCCAGACGCGCAACGCCAAGCAGGCGCAGACCCACATGCAGAAATGCAAAGAGAAGCTCCAGCGCCGCTTCAAGCGCACCTCGAGCGCCGACTCGGACGACATTGAGCCGTATGTGATCCACCGCTCCAAGCACTCGCAGAATCTACGCATCCCCGAGCTGCAGCCCATCCCGTTCGACCACCGCCTCGCGATGCCCGGGAGCTTGCTCAGCGACAGCTCCATCTCGATTGACGCCGCCCTCGATTTTTTCCTGCAAGACATGGCGACGGCGCCGTCGCCGTGACGCAACTCGTGCAGTTTCTCTCCTATTATTTTATTGCTCAAGACGACGACGACCCATCGGTAGCGCTCGGCGTCTGGTGCGCACGTAATATTCAACGTACCCTTCTTTACTTTCATTCAATAGAACTTGTGTCGACCCTTCTTAACTCTATTGGAGGCTTCACTTTCTCTCGATAATATGCCTTGTGTTATGCTGGCATGCTCGGATTTGGCAGACTCGAATGTGTCGAGCGTTGGATGGGGGAGTCGACATCAATGGATCGAAAGTGGGGTCAATACTGTGGTTATCGAACGAGAGACTGAAGCGTTAGCCATGCTCCCTCGACTCTGACTCAAATCGGTATGCCAATGGCTGACGTAATTCAAGAACCGTTGGGCCAACCATAGTCCTCCATGGATGACTACTAAGCCTCCCGATCAAGATGAAACATCTGGCTCGTTTACATCATGTGGGCGAGGGGTAGGTACACTCAACTATCAAGGGAATCAAATATTATTACATGTAAAAATGCTCCACCAGTACCGGCGGTACATCGAAGCAAATGCACACATTCACGATCCTAGATCATTCCGGTGACGTTTTTTCTCTCTGTAGTCTGTCGTGCGTCCATGCCAATGCGACGATGTGCGTGGTGGCCTTTCTTGTTTTCGAAAGAAAGGACGGCCGCTTGTGCAAGCGGGTGCGGCTTGCGAATCACGCTCGTCTCTTTACCACCAGAAACACGGTATGCAACACATCCCATCGTTGGCGTTGACACTGCGACTGCGACTTGGGTGCGAATAGGTTGGTGCCGAGAGCGTCGAGGGATCCGCGCGATTGTGAGACGAAACCGGGTCGTCGTGGAGGCGACAGCGCGCAGGCCAACGCGCCGTCGTCGCAAATACCGTTGGCCAACGCTCTGCATTTCCACACAATAAAGATATTGCCACCTCACCCCAGACATGACCAGTTGGACCCGACCGACGACCTCACAATCATCAGTACCGTCGACACGTAATACACTGTAATTTGAGGGATGTGCACAGCCGCCGCGCGTAATCGGATCGAGCTTCAATCGACCAAACAGTACTCGTCGTCGTCAATCACCCGCCGCTGCTTTTATTCGACACTACGTACTGGTATGATGGCTCCCACCACTGCTCCCACGGTGCCCGGAACTTGAGAACCCGTCAAGTGTCTTTGGCACCGAGCAGCGCGCCATCGTTGCGCGCGCTCGTGGCGTCGTCACCGCGACGACGAACGCGTTCGAATGCGATCGGTTTCCTACGGTACACTACTACAGCCTTGCACGCATCATCATAAGCTTACTCTCTACCATTTTCGCTATCAGCTAGCACTTGCAGTTTACTTGGCTCCCAAATAACTATCGACTTGGCGAAGGGTTTTTGCGAGCTAGTGCAACGTCACATAGTCAATCTCGCTGATGGTTTGCTTTCACTTTTGTATACATACTCCAGGACATTTCGCACGATAGGTAGGAACTGGCGGCTCAGATTCGCCAAAGACGAGCATCCCAACGAATGACTCTTGAGCCTGATCTCGTGACCAGCACGCTTGCCGTGGCGCCATCCATATCATCAGGTCCGCTCGTCTACTACCGACGGCGACACCAGGTAACGTTAATCAATTCTATATGCTAGCGTAGTGACGTTTGGTGGCTGGTCCGCATGGCCACGCGGGCTTGCGTATACTTATGACACAGCGACCGCCAGCTGCCTCCCCGTCTACAGCTCGCCTTCGTTGCTACAGATCGCCTTCGGTGCTAGAACTTGTACAGCATGCCTTCGGAGGACCCCTAAGCCAAGGGATCACGCGTGCCAAGAAGCCAACTATGTTCAGGAACCGCTCCGGTTGGTCACGCTTGCGGGACCAGCCTCATGAGCGGGCAGCAGTTCCATA